TGCAATAGAATAGAGAAGACGGGAAAAATTATTTTAAATAACAATATTAACCTGCCTAAATCTTGACGAATTATTTGATTATGCAAATAAATTATTGCATTATAAACTCTGAATATTGTGCTGTTTAAAATATCATGCTTTTCTGAATTACCTAAATATTTTGTACCTTTACAGCTCCATTTTCTGTGTAGTACTAAATGTATTGCATATCTAAATATGGATAACTCCTAATTATCTGCTTCATCCCTGCATTTGATGCAGCTTTAAATTTGGTTTACCTGTGAACATGTTACATGTCTTATTTTGGTATATCTCTGAATCTGTTTCATCTCTAGAAATGATAGCTAGTTGCGTCTATGAGAAATGTTTGTAACCCTGACTTTCAGTACAAACATTAAGATATGCCCTAATGATCTTGAGTTCATAAAACTGATTTATAAATAAGGCCGAGTGGTGCAGTACTCATGTCCTCCTATCATGATTCTAGTAAATGATTGTATGATTAATAATACAGACATACATACACTCGTGTAAGTTCTGTAAACAAAAAAGAATTCTCAAATGACAAAATGCATCATCTAAATCGTTTATTTCGTATGCAAAACGGGAAACATCCACCTTCGTTATTCTGATATCTATCAAAATGAAGAAATATTCAATGTTACAAAGGATACTCTTCCATTTGAAAGACAGGCTACTTCTACTTTATGATTAAAAAGAAATGAAACGATAATTTTTGAGCAGCATTTATCGTCGTTACGAAGAATAACACATTTTAAATGACACAAACCGTTTGTCTCAGTCTGATCTATGAGATTTAATCTACTCCTTGAAATGTACTAAATACAAGGGATAAATACTACATTCATTGTTGAAAACAGCATTGGTATATATTGGTGTACATATACATTTTGGTTGTCATATTTTTTCCCAATGATTCAGAGAAACAACACGGCTTCTTATGGCCTTGGCATATTTGTGTCTTTTCAAACATTATAAAGTTTGTTGTTGTTTTGTGTCGCATTTTTAGTACCATTATTTGTTTGCATGCATATTTTAAGTTTATTGCTGATTACATATAGATACTTTGAGTTTATGGCATTTTTAAATGAATACGCTGATGATGTTTTATATAACAAATAACCATTTTCATGCATCTGATTGTATACATACTTTATAATTTTATCTTGGATTTATTGCTCAGATTTACTGACAGTATATGTATTATTGTCTGCAGTGATTCCTTGATAATTGAAGCAAAAGACATACATCAAGACGTTTAATGGGTTTTGTAGGTCATACCTTAAAATAGAATGTGCATATGTTATTGATTCCCTGTTTGTCAGCTTATTAAAATTTATGTTCAGTGGAAAATGAAAAGGAAAATGAACAAGCACTGCATATGTAAACACAATAAATGAGAAGAACTACAAAGTTATATTGTAATTTCAATAAAATATGTTTACCTATACACATACTAATGAAAAAGATTTTAAATAATATCTTCGTTGTAATGCAATAGAATAGAGAAGACTGGAAAACATTGTTTTAAATAACAATATTAATGTCACAAAGTGAAAGTACGTTTGTAAAATTTTGCATTATATTTTCACGCCGAACCTCATTTTTACTCTATATTCATTGTTGTGAGATTGCATCATCTTTTGTTCAATTTAGAGTTTTCGGGTGAAATTATTATTTAGAGTATTTTTATGGTTTGCATAAATTTCCATGTCTCAATTTAAACATTTTGCCGTTTATTTCACAAAAATCCTTTCAGTAATAAGAAAGTTACATTTTTGTTTTATGAACCAGATATATGTATTATGTCTGTATTTGAAGGACGGGCCTTTATTTTACATAACTATTTTTCCCGCTATCCAAGCTTTATTTCGTGCAAATCGATTTTTCATGTTTTGCACGATCTGTTTTCCCGCTCAGTACTCAGTAGTTTGCTATATATTGACTAAATTTTAAGTGACATATTGCAATGCACTGGACGTTATACAGGTCACTATGACGGTGACAGACAAATTATATTTGTCATAAAATTACAGCTTGTACAAGGTAAATTTAATTTTCTAGTGATTTTGTTTCATAAATTTTTGCTATTTCGTAAAATACTATTTTCTATTAGAATTATTGTTTATTTGATTCAGGTTTAGTTATTTGGCAGTGATTTATTGTTTTCTAAATTTTCTAAATTTTTGCAGATTAAATTTTAAAAGCTCTTTTTATTCTAGTGTTTCGCTATTGCAAATTTATACCGAGATATGTTAATTGAAGTTTTAATTGTATTGTAATTGTATAGGAGCTGTGAATATTTTATAGATATATATATATATATATATATCTTCATAAATAATTTATTATGGTTCTACCGTATTTGTGTAACTTTATGTAAAATGCTGCAGTATCGTAATGATTTGTTTCAATCAATTTAATTTACGTTATCATCTTACTTCATTTCATTTATCATCAGTTTTTGTTATAAGTAAATACAACGTATCTCTAGAGAAGGATCTTCAGTGGCATGATTTTGGAAGACGTTTATTTATTGGTGGTTATTATGTGGCGTATATTTGAATATATTTGCAAACGCAGTATTATGCGGATGTGATTGAATTTTTGTTCCACGGAATGTATGGTGTACTATAGTGGACATTTTGTTTATTCAAAGAAGCACGTTATTTTATTGGAAACCGACAAAGGTCGAGTCTTTTCCAAGGGACTTTATTATACCCTTATGTTTGATTATCATGGAACTTACCATGTTTTATACTTTGTAGCTTCTTATTTGAGGACACACCCGAAGATGACACGGGCCCTCCACACGTATGTCCATGGCTAAAGGGTGACGCATGCCCTTGTTCAGGATCCTATCAACTGTGCCAACACTGTAGGAAGTACAGTTACGCTTGATAAGATTTTATACAAGACGCCCGCCATTGTGACGAATTTTGTTTAACAACGCCACCACTTTATTGATACATCATGACAGAGACTTTACGGGAGAAATAGACTGAGATACGTTGATAGTGTTTGTTTGTGCAGTGACTTATCATAGTAGTTTATCATATACAATCATTTTTCATTTATAAATATTCATTTCTGTAAATAAATTTGTATATATTTTTCTGTTCTGAGTTGTTGGTTGTTTTAGATAGCAATTGTGGTCGGCCTGGTATCCCATCGTAGTCCCTATTGTGACATTTGGTGACCTCGACGTGATTGGATACCGGTTGGCTATAGTTGTTATTTGAAACAAACCACACTCATTTAACTGCAGCTAGGTTATATAGCTAACACTAGAAACTTTGGTTTTATTTTAAGTAAAAGTTTTATTTACAATTAAAAGTTAAATTTAGTTTACTTAAAGGTAGTTAAATTTTGTATCATTTTTAATTATTTATTCTTTTTATATTTAGTGTGATTATAATTTCTTAACATTTTCAGATTGATACCGTGACAAATGAAACGGACTTGTGTGTGTGACAGCTATCCAGCTGAGAGGTTATAACAGCCACACAGACCCGACAGTGGACGTTTGGACGTTTAGGGTGAGTTCGTTCCATTTTCCTCCTTTTAGGTGTCACTTTATGATGAGACCACCAGTTTTGTAATCTGAAAGTGACCTTTCGGTAAAACACCGGAAGTACACATATACACACATACACTCTGCAATTTAAGGTACTACCCGCCTTGTGTACTTTTTCTAGATAAAGAAACTGTGTCTGTTATCTAGGTGAACATTTAATTTATTGTGTCATTTACAATTTTACTTTGTGTTTACTTTGTGTCTGTAGTATATTGAAACTGGCCATATACCTTTTATATTTTTGCACTGTGGGGTAAAGTGCTACGCGACATTGAGTTTTGGGTCGTAGTTTGGACTTTAAAGTTTAAAGTATTTTGAACAGTTTTAATTATTGCCTACTGTCTACTGTACACTTAAGATTATTATTATACAACCTTAGTGAGATACTTAGATGAGTTTGAAACTTAGTGTTTGTAGTGGTGAGGTATAGTGTTTAGAATATATGATACATTGTTTATTTTAGTACTTGTACAGTGAAGGTACATTTTGATTATAGCGCTAGAGTGATAAATGCGTTTAATTATATGGTGTTACACTGAAGTGTAGTGTTATAGTGCACCGTGATTGCACTTAGTGAATATAGCGTTTTGTGTTTAAGGGTTGTAGTGTTACCCTTTAATGATACTTTGATATCATTGTTCTACCTCACGGTAAGATTTTACTTGTATCCTAAGTTGTTGTTGTAGTAGTGTTACAGTGTAGGAAATATACATAATAAGTCAAGATGACTAGTGTAAATGAGTTGATGAAGGTAGGTCAGGAGTTAGGGTATACTGATGAGGCTTTGAGAAACTTTGTTAAAGAGGAGCAAGCCAGGGAGCGTGAAGAAAGACATAGTAGGTTAGAAGCTGAGAAGGATAGGTTAGAATTAGAAGCTAGGTTAGCAAAAGAGAAGTTAGATTATGAAGTCCAGATTTCTAAGGAGAAGTTAGAAATAGAGATAGAAATGGAAAAAGAGAAGTTAAGTAATGAGGCTAGAGTTGCAAAGGAGAAGTTAGAAATAGCTCGTCAGTTAGAAAGAGAGAAGGAGGAAGCAGAAGCTAGGAAGTTAGATACAGAATATAAGATGAAGATAGAGTTAGATATGTTAGGTAAGAAGAGTGTAGGTAAGGTTAAGGTTAAGATGACTCCATTTGACGAAAAGATTGATTTTATGGATGCGTATTTGAATGTTTATGAAACTTATGCGTCTGCTCAGAATTGGGAACATGAAATGTGGTCACTAAACTTAACGTTTCTGTTAAAAGGTACTGCTAGGGAGGTATTTGATAGGCTTCCATTAGAAGATAGGACGGATTATGATAAGCTGAAAGATGCTTTGTTAAGGCAGTTTGAGTTGACTGATGATGGGTATTAGAAGAAGTTTAGGACTGAAAGGCCCCGTGAAAATGAGACTTTTGTTATGTTCCTAGCTAGAATTTCTAGATACTTAGATGGTTGGCTAAGATTGAGTAAGGTGGAGAAGACTTATGAAAAGTTGTTAGACTTCATAGTAAGGGATCAATTTTTAGATATCTGCAATAGAGAACTATATCAGAACCTTAGTAGTAAGAAGTTGTTTTCAGCCCGAGAAGTAGCGGAAGATGCAGATTTGTTTGCCAAGACTAGAGGAGGTCCGAAGTATGTAGTGAATCATGGAATTAAAGAAAGAGCTAAGCCTTATGCACTGCCGAGTAGACCTGTAGATAGAAATCAAGGTAGTAGTTATCGTATGCAAAGAGGTAACGATAGACTCGTAAATAGAGGTAGAGCATCTCAGCAGTATGAAGGTTATAAATGCACATATTGTGGTCGTTTAGGGCATACAGCATTTTTCTGTAGAAATAAGGCTACAAATAAAGCTAACGCAGCGGAAGACATAGAACCGAACTCAATGAATCCAAGTAAGAATGATAATAGTTATCAGGGTAATAGAAGGCGAGGAGGTTATAGAGGTAGGAGTAGAGGTAGAGGAAGAAATAGAGATGCAGATTCGAAGATTTCGATGCCGAGATCAGATAGTGGTAGTAGTTTGATAGAACGTGGGGATTCTGAAGACGTGGGTACAGTTACTATAAATTCATGTCCGACAACTAGAGGTATATGTAATGGTAAAGCTATAGTTGCAATGAGAGATACTGGGTGTACATGTGTCATAGTACGAAGGAATTTGGTGAATGCAAATCAATTGTTAGGGAAGTCCAGACGATGTAAGTACATTGATGGTAGTGAGCACAGATTAGACATGGCGTTAATTGATCTGGATTGTCCGTATTACAGGGGTACTGTAGAAGCACTATGTGTAGATAATCCTACAAATGATGTAATTATCGGTAACATAGAGGGTGCTGTAGAACCAAATTTTGGTAAGTCAGCTTCAGCAGTAGAAACAAGATCGCAGAGTAAAGTTAAAGCTCATAGAAGACTTAAAGTTCCTTCACAGATTTTAGACATCACTAATGTAGAGTTTGTAGAGAAGCAGCAGGCAGATAGTTCATTAGATGGATGTAGAAAGAAAGCAGAGGAAGGTACTGACAGAAACTGTAGAGGTAAAGGGCAAGTGAAGTTTCAGGTCAGGAATAAGATGTTGTTTAGAGAGTTTACGGCAGGAAATGGTGACGTAAGTAGGCAGTTAGTAGTTCCTAAGGATCTTAGGGAGACTGTGTTAAAAGTAGCGCATGACTCGCTTTTGGCAGGACATCTTGGTATTAGGAAGACAAGTGATAGAGTCTTAGGGGAGTTTTATTGGCCAGGTGTTCTTGTAGAGGTTAGACGATATTGTCAGTCTTGTGATATTTGTCAACGTATTATTTCTAAAGGTAGAATAAGTAAGGTAACTTTAGGTAAGATGCCTTTGATTGATACTCCTTTTAAGAGAGTTGCCGTTGACATTGTTGGTCCGATCGAACCTATGACTGATAGGAAGAACCGATATATTTTGACCATGGTAGACTATGCTACCAGATATCCTGAAGCAATTGCATTGCCTAGTATAGAGACTGAAAGAGTAGCCGAAGCATTAGTTGACATGTATAGTAGATTAGGTGTTCCAGAGGAAATGCTTACAGATTGTGGATCACAATTTACATGTACTTCACAGATTATGAATGAGGTTAGTAGGTTGCTGTCTCTTAGACAGTTAACAACTACACCGTATCATCCGATGTGTAATGGTTTAGTGGAGAAATTTAATGGTAGTTTAAAGCAGATGTTGGAACGGATGTGTAGTGAAAGACCTACAGATTGGGATAAGTATTTGAATGCTATGTTGTTTGCGTATCGGGAAGTTCCACAAGAGAGTTTAGGATTCTCGCCATTTGAATTGTTATATGGACGTAGTATAAGAGGTCCAATTACCATTTTGAGAGAGTTATGGTCAGGAAAAACAGAGAATGACGAAGTTAAGACAACTTATCAGTATGTAGTTGATTTGCAAGAAAGACTAGAAAGTACATGTAAGATAGCACAGCAGGAGTTAGAGAAGAGCAGTATTAGGTATAGAAAGTATTACAAACAGGAAAGCTAGAGATAGAACTTTTAAGAAGGGAAGTAAAGTACTGGTTCTTATACCTACAAAACGCAATAAGTTGTTGTTACAATGGAAAGGTCCATTTGTAGTTTCCGAGGTCGTGAACAAATTAGATTATCGGATAGACATAGGTAACAGTAAGATCAAAACTTTCCATGCCAATATGCTGAAGGAGTATGTTGAAAGAAATTTCGAACCAGAACGAGGTGCATTGGCAAAGGTAAGTGCAGCTGTTGTAGAAGCGGAAAATGGGTATGATAGATTAGAGGAAGATGATAGTTTAGAAACAAGTTACCAAGATGATAGTGACATATTGTTATGTCCATTGAAGAAAGGTTCAGAGACATATAAAGATGTTCAGGTCAATCCTGACTTACAAACAGATTGTAAGACTCAGATTGCAACCTTGTTAAAGAAATTTTCAGATGTTTTAACAGATATACCCGGAAATACGTCATTAGTTCAGCATGACATTAAGTTGACTACGTCAGAACCGGTAAGGACTAAGGGTTATCCTATTCCTTTTCACTCACAGCAGATAGTAAAGGAAGAAGTTGATAAAATGCTAGAGTTGGGAGTTATCGAACCTTCTAACGCTCCGTTTTCTAGTCCAATTGTCCTTATCAGGAAAAAGGATAACACGATTAGGTTCTGTATTGATTTTAGACAGATCAATAAATGCACGGTATTTGATGCGGAACCGATGCCCAATATGGAACAGATATTTTCGAAATTATCAAAATACAGGTATTTTTCGAAAATTGACCTTAGTAAAGGATACTGGCAAGTTCCTTTGTCTGACAATGCAAAACCTTTGACAGCATTTGAAACCCCGTCGGGACTTTTTCAATTCCGGAAAATGCCCTTTGGTTTAGTCAATGCCCCTGCAACATTCTGTAGACTGATGAGAAAGGTTTTGAAAGATCTAGATCACTCAGATAGTTTTATAGATGATATTTTGGTCTATACAGTCACATTGCCAGAACATATCAATGCATTGTATGAGTTATTTACCCAATTAAGAGAGTCTAGGCTTACTGCTAGACCGTCCAAGTGTTTCATATGTTTTGAAAAATTGGAATGTTTAGGTCATATGATAGGAGGTAGTAAGTCCATTGAACCTGTTCTCAGTAAGGTCAAGGCAATTCAGGAGACCGAGAGACCCACGACTAAGCGAGGAGTCCGGCAATTTTTAGGGGTTGTGTCTTGGTACCGGAAGTTCATCCCTAACTTTGCCGCCATTGCTGTTCCGTTGACCGATTTGACAAAAAAGTTTCAACCAAATCGTATTGAATGGGGTGAAAGTCAGGAAAAGGCTTTTCAGACTCTTAAGGCTAGTTTGACCGGTCCGCCCATTCTGAAATTACCAGATTTAGACAAGATATTTATTCTCAGAGTTGATGCTTCTGATTGTGGATTAGGATCTGTATTACTTCAAGAACAAGGTGAGGAGAAATTTCCAGTAGCTTATGCCAGTAGAAAGTTGTTACCAAGAGAACAGAAGTATTCTGTAATGGAGAAGGAGTGCCTTGGTATTGTTTGGGCAATTTCTAAATTTCACAGATACTTGTTTGGTAAGGAATTTATTCTAGAGCAGATCACCAGCCGCTTTTGTATCTTAACAAGGCAAAGTTAAGTAACTCTAGAATAATGAGATGGTCTTTGCTTTTGCAGCCATACAGGATGAGGATTAGAGCAATCCCAGGTAGAGAAAACATAGGTGCAGATTATATAAGCAGGGTATAATGCAGAGTGTAGTGTAGTATTCATGGTGGTTATAAATATGGTGTACAGTATTTCTACTTACATTTTTGCAATTTGTCGTTTTCACTTTGTTGTATTTAAAGAAAATTTATCAATTTTCTTATTTAAAGGGGGGCGTAAATGTCACAAAGTGAAAGTACGTTTGTAAAATTTTGCATTATATTTTCACGCCGAACCTCATTTTTACTCTATATTCATTGTTGTGAGATTGCATCATCTTTTGTTCAATTTAGAGTTTTCGGGTGAAATTATTATTTAGAGTATTTTTATGGTTTGCATAAATTTCCATGTCTCAATTTAAACATTTTGCCGTTTATTTCACAAAAATCCTTTCAGTAATAAGAAAGTTACATTTTTGTTTTATGAACCAGATATATGTATTAAGTCTGTATTTGAAGGACGGGCCTTTATTTTACATAACTATTTTTCCCGCCATCCAAGCTTTATTTCGTGCAAATCGATTTTTCATGTTTTGCACGATCTGTTTTCCCGCTCAGTACTCAGTAGTTTGCTATATATTGACTAAATTTTAAGTGACATATTGCAATGCACTGGACGTTATACAGGTCACTATGACGGTGACGGACAAATTATATTTGTAATAAAATTACAGCTTGTACAAGGTAAATTTAATTTTCTAGTGATTTTGTTTCATAAATTTTTGCTATTTCGTAAAATACTATTTTCTATTAGAATTATTGTTTATTTGATTCAGGTTTAGTTATTTGGCAGTAATTTATTGTTTTCTAAATTTTCTAAATTTTTGCAGATTAAATTTTAAAAGCTCTTTTTATTCTAGTGTTTCGCTATTGCAAATTTATACCGAGATATGTTAATTGAAGTTTTAATTGTATTGTAATTGTATAGGAGCTGTGAATATTTTATAGATATATATAGAAATATCTATTCATAAATAATTTATTATGGTTCTACCGTATTTGTGTAACTTTATGTAAAATGCTGCAGTATCGTAATTATTTGTTTCAATCAATTTAATTTACGTTATCATCTTACTTCATTTCATTTATCATCAGTTTTTGTTATAAGTAAATACAACGTATCTCTAGAGAAGGATCTTCAGTGGCATGATTTTGGAAGACGTTTATTTATTGGTGGTTATTATGTGGCGTATATTTGAATATATTTGCAACGCAGTATTATGCGGATGTGATTGAATTTTTGTTCCACGGAATGTATGGTGTACTATAGTGGACATTTTGTTTATTCAAAGAAGCACGTTATTTTATTGGAAACCGACAAAGGTCGAGTCTTTTCCAAGGGACTTTATTATACCCTTATGTTTGATTATCATGGAACTTACCATGTTTTATACTTTGTAGCTTCTTATTTGAGGACACACCCGAAGATGACACGGGCCCTCCACACGTATGTCCATGGCTAAAGGGTGACGCATGCCCTTGTTCAGGATCCTATCAACTGTGCCAACACTGTAGAAAGTACAGTTACGCTTGATAAGATTTTATACAAGACGCCCGCCATTGTGACGAATTTTGTTTAACAACGCCACCACTTTATTGATACATCATGACAGAAACTTTACGGGAGAAATTGACTGAGATACGTTGATAGTGTTTGTTTGTGCAGTGACTTATCATAGTAGTTTATCATATACAATCATTTTTCATTTATAAATATTCATTTCTGTAAATAAATTTGTATATATTTTTCTGTTCTGAGTTGTTGGTTGTTTTAGATAGCAATTGTGGTCGGCCTGGTATCCCATCGTAGTCCCTATTGTGACAATTAACCTGGCTTAATCGTGACGAATTATTTGATTATGTAAATAAATTATTGCATTTTAAACTCTGAAGATGGTGCAGTTTAAAATATCATGCAGTTCTGAGTTACCTAAATATTTTGTACCTTTACAGCTCCATTTTCTTTGCAGTACTAAATGTATTGCATCTCTAAACATGGATAACTCTTAATTATCTGCTTCATCCCTGTATTTGATGCAGCTTTAAATTTGGTTCACCTGTGAACATGATACATGTCTAATTTTGGTATATCTCTGAATCTGTTTCATCTCTAGAAATGATAGCTAGTTGCGTCTATGAGAAATGTTTGTAACCCTGAATTTCAGTACAAACATTAAGATATGCCCTAATGATTACTTATCTTGAGTTCATAAAACTGATTTATAAATAAGGCCGAGTGGTGCAGTACCCATGTCCTCCTATCATGATTCTAGCAAAACGGGAAACATCCACCTTCGTTATTCTGATATCTATCAAAATGTAGGAATATTCAATGTTACACAGGATACTCTTCCATTTGAACGACAGGCTACTTCTATTTAAATTTATGATTAAAAGAAATGAAACGATACTTTTGTGCAGCATTTATCGTCGTTACCAAGAATAACATTTAAAGTGACACACACCGTTTGTCTCAGTCTGAGATTTTATCTACTCCTTGAAATGTACTAAATACAAAAGACTAATACTATATTCAGTATTGTAAACATCATTGGTGTACATATACATTTTGGTTGTCCGATCTTTCCCAAAGATTCAGAGAAACAATACGGCTTCTTACGGCCTTTGCATATTTGTGTCTTTTCAAACGTTATAAAGATTGTTGTTTTTTTATGTCGCATTTTAGGATAATTAATTGTTTGCATGCATATTTTAAAGTTATTGCTGATTACATATAGATACTTTGAGTTTATGGCATTTTTTAAATGAATACGCTGATGTTTTTGGAATGTCGTTGGAGTCATTTAGATGTTAGAATTCAGTGGAAAAAATAATCATACAGATAAATTCAATGGTCGTCGAAATTTACTTTAAAGATCAGTTCCGTCGGCACGTTTGTTTAATATGTTTTATATATTCATAATACAATTAGAAAATAAAACGATGAAATTTAAGGACGACACAAAGCGTATTTGTCATAAGATTCTCGTTACAGGCCATGCGTAACGAGTAAAAAGCCAAGCTACAAACTTTAAATCTGCTGGAATTCCCTTCGAGCATGATATATATTCAGAGCAATTACAACTGCTAGGCACTTATTATAACGCTGCCTTAATATGTGTACATAATGTTAAAATAGTCTGAGTTTTTTATTACAGATTGTTTACGGTAATTTGTCTTAAAGGCCAGATTAGATCAATTGTGGTGTTATATGTTCTTGTTTGTCTTTGGTTATTTTGTTATGGGTGATTGAACTGGTCTTGCAAGTTAACTGATGGATGATTGATTTTGTAT